AATTTAGTTTTGAAGCTCATTTGATGCGCATTGGTGGGTACAACTTTGGAATATTAGCGGAACTATTATGGTTATGGTGATTCGGTTCCCAGTTTCAACTTTAGCCAAACAAGTTATAAAATCCATAACCTGATACGAATTCATATATATACGATCCTATAATGATTGTTTGTTTGTTTTGAATTTCGCGCAAAGCTACACGAGGGATATCTTCGCTAGCCGTCCCTAATTTAGCAGTGTAAGACTAAAGGGACTATTTTATCAACGGATTTACTATCACATTATAACGACCCCACGGCTGAAAGGGCGAGCATGTTTGGTGTGACGGGGATTCGAACCCGCGACCCTCAGATTGCGAGTCGAGCACCCTAATCACCTGGCCATGACGGGCCACCTATAACAAAACTAACCATGCCAATGACATTGAAACATTAAAAAGACAAGCGCCATAGTAAGTTTGTTGAAATTATAAGTATTACCCAGTATGAACTATAATAATTCAACAAAATATTTTAAACGACTCAAAAGTGAAAATATGAAAAACGTATTTTAAAAATAAACAAAAATTATTTATTGTAGTTCACGAAGAAAGAAAAACAAGCTTTCAAATCTAGAATATATTTTTGAATAGACTTAAACTCCATTAATTTAATATGTGTCAAGTTTCATATGGATTCATATGTGTGTGTGGAAGGAGGGGTGTTGTTGTTAAGTTAGCCCCCCTTCCACATACACATAAAGATTGCCCCATAAGTCTAATTGTAGTACAGCACAAAATCAACACTAAATATGCCGCCAAATTTGGTTCAATTTTAGAGTTGCCTCATAAGTTTAGTTGTAGTAGGGTGCAAATGCTGGAACTTGCGGCACAAATTCAGTATTAAAATATTGTCAAGTTTGGTCAACTTTAGAGTTGGTGGGGGGAGAAGTTCACGGATCTCAACAATGATATCTCTCTTGAAAGGAGGCAAACAGTGTGGGGTTCACCAAAACGAAGCTTCCGAACAAACCTCCCGTTCAATCATTACATATCTCAAGCAGCTGGAGAAATAAACAAGTATTCATGCTATTTATAAAAAAAGGCATATCGTTGAAGACCCCAGACGCAACATCTGTGACTTCCTATGCGATCGGATTATTTAAATGGAAGTTGGAAAAACAGTGTCCTCACTCCACCAGATGGATCATGGAAAGTTCGAGGGTACAGGAGTGTGCTTTGGGCGTGATAACTTTACTACAAAGCCTTTTGAAGTAGAACCCACGCTGTAGAGGTGTTGTTGAGGTACACTGCCATCAGATGGAGCATGACCAAACATTGCGACATGGCCTGTAACGATGTGTTGAGGCCCAAAAATCATTTTAATACAACTTAATGTGTATATATCCCAGAATAACAAACGAAGATATATATATATATACCATGGTAATAAAGTGTATATTGAAGAGAATACAGATATTCTATGAAGGGGGGACAATGGTAGGGCTGGTCAAATTTCCTGTTTTACATGTTTCAAGTGTTCTATTTCTTAGGGTAATTAATTATAAAAAATCATGACATCACAGAAGACTGTACGGAAAGCCTACTTGTTAATACAGATTATTTTACACAAATTGTATCATTTTCGAAAGTGACGTCATAATTATGGCTAGAAATTGCAATTCGAATACATCCACTATAAGTGTTTAAACTTTTAACTTTTTAGGGAGATTCCGGTGGACCTATGCAGATCCAGGGAGAAGATGGCCGATGGTTTCTGGCAGGGATCATCTCTTGGGGGATCGGGTGTGGGGAGCCAAACCTTCCTGGTGTTTCTACCCGAATATCCAAGTTCAAGGACTGGATTCTGGAAAACATAACGTAACGACTCCTCAGTGTAAAATCGTTAATTCTAAAGAACTTCTCGTGTATATTCCTTACACTCGTACTTACTGGTGCTGTGTATAATGGAACTTTCAACCTTGCTCAATCCTTTGGACTTTGCAGTGGACAGAAACTGACCACTGGCGATGAGAGGGACGATGATTCCGTGAAAAGTTAGGATGGGGGTGTAGTGTATTCTGTCGTGGTTTTATATTTTAAGTGTCGTACAGTACAGTCACAGTTTTCTTTGCAACTAAAGTAGTCACCTCTGTATAGTGAATTCACCGAATGTATTGTTAGTATATGGACTGATGGAGGGAGAATGCTCGTGAAATAATGTTTGATATGAACATATTTTAACTTTCTCTGTTTTTAAAGAATGCCAAGCCTCGTATATTTACTAACGTACGAAACTGTTGCCATGTTTTTTTATTCCCACTGTTTTTGTTTCTGTAACGAAGGAAGGTCTGTGTTGATTATCAAACAAGGCCTAGTGTGAGATAAGTATTTTCCTTTTCAACGTCCATCTTGAGGTTTCTCTCGGGTGAGGAAAAAAAAATCGTCAGACGCAAGAAATGTTATAAGTATTTACCCGTCCTAATATTGGTGATTAAATTTTATCTTTCTTTTATTCTGTTTCTAATGGATGGGTCATCTTAAAATAATGAAAGTGTCTGGTACGTTTACTTCTTTCAAGAAATACTGGAAAATTAAGAACCACTTAGGTAACACCGTTCTTCAATACAAAAATATGGCTTATGTTCAATAATTGTACTTCTAACAATAAGCATTCTAGGTCAATATATGTTAAGTGAACAATGTTTTAACGAGTTAGAAATCCCTGATTGAGGTCGGTTTAGGTGAAGTCAGGTAGTTGTACTTCTAACAATAAGCATTCTAGGTCAATATATGTTAAGTGAACAATGTTTTAACGAGTTAGAAATCCCTGATTGAGGTCGGTTTAGGTGAAGTCAAGTAGTT